TCACACTACTGTCCAACCTACCCTTCCTTGCCAAAGTCCTGGAACTCATTGTTGCAGGTCAACTTCGGTCACACCTCTCCCTCCACTCACTTCTTGAATCCCTGTAGTCTGGTTTTCGCCCTGACTGCCCACAGCACAGAGACAGCGCTTGTCAAAGTCACAAATGACAGCCTCTATTTGTGACCAGGGCTCTCTCTGCCTCCTCATCCTCCTGGATCTCTCTGCTGCCTCTCCTCTCCTCCCTCATCCACCTTAGTGGGACCGCATTCGCATGGTTCGAATCCTACTTAACTAATCATCTCCATTTCATCTCGGCAAATGGTTTCTCCTCCGGTCACCTGCAGGATGTCTGAGGGCTCCATTCTTAGCCCTCTTCTTTCTTTATATGTTCCCTCTGGGCGACGTCATCCATAGACACGGGGTAAACTTCCACATGTATGCGGATGACACACAAATCTACTTTGCCTCCTCCAGTACCAACTCCAGGTCCGCCAATGTTCTATCAGCTTGTCTGACAGACATCAGGGCCTGGATGAATGCAAATTTCCTGCAGGACCGCCTTGTTCCACCTCTGCCACATTGCCCACCTCCGATCGTACCTTACCCCAAATGCAGCCAATACCCTCTTGCATATGTTTGTCACCTCTCACCTGGATTACACCAACGCACTCCTCGCTAGTCTCCACAACTCCACTATTGAAAAGATCCAGCTCATCCAGAACTTTTCTGCCCACCTATTTACCCGGACCAAACTCCATACCCACATCTCATCTATGGCCACCTCACCACCCCCAGCTTGGAGTCAGGCTCCATCACTGTTAAGCACTCTGAGACGCTTCCCTGCATGGAGGACATTATATAAGTGCAAATTGTTGTTGTTGTTATACTGTACAGTGAATTGACTGTAAATTTTGTAGGTGAAATGAAGCGGATAATTTTAAATTTTTAAAATATTTTGAAGGATTATTACCCATGGAAAAGCGATCCGTCAATCGACTAACAATCGGGTTCCTACTTACTGTTAAGTGAACAGAGGTGTGTGGAGTAAGGAAATCGAATCCAGGCAATGTTAGTTTTTAATGGAGAAATAAAATGATCTGAAAAAATTAACCTAAACCCATTTTGCAGTTTGCAACATTTGACCTCTCTCTATAGAGGCAAGTATAGAGGCAGCGCCTTGGGACGTCCTCCCGACATAAAAGGCGCTCTATAAATGGAATCTTGTTGTTGTTGTTGTTGTACTCAGCTTCATCCTCCACCTCCATACAGCTCCTTTCACCATTGCTTCCTCTAGTCATTCAAATTGATTAGTATTTAATGGGGGCAACACCTCCAAATATCAATTTTATTTCCTAGCCATAATACTATACCTATTTTCAATAAAAGGGGCATGAGTCCAGAAACTAGACAATCTGACCTCAAAACTGTAGCAGGAAAAAAAACTTCTAAGATTCACGTGAGCACGGCTTATTTTAAGAGGACAGAGACTATAAGGCAAACTCAACATGGATTTAGAAGTAATGGTTCATGCTTTATAAATCGTCCAATTGCCTCTGTTTACCCAGCAATAAGTAGGTTGTTAGTCGATTGGCAGATCACTTTTCCAGGGTTAATAATTCCTTCAAAAAATATTAATTTGGTCACTCAATCCACGATTGTTTGTGGGATGCTGCTGCGCGTAACTGGCTGCTGGGTTTCACCCACAAAATATAGTCGATTCACTTTACAGTATATGCTGTGAATCGATTTGGTTTATTATTATTATTTGAGGCGATAACTAAGCTCATGGATAAGATCTATCTGGTTACTCTAATTACTTGGATTTTCTAGAAAAAAAACTGATAAAGTACTACATTAGAAATGGTTAAAAGAAATTAAAGATCAGAATTAATGGTGAACCTGCTTGCTGAAGTGAACATGCAGCTCAGTAGAAAAGGAAGTAAAAATGGTCATTCTAAATGGGAAAATTCATTGTCAGGAGACAGAGGCACAGATTATTTAGGATTCCATTCTGAGAGCTGCATAATTGATTTTCAGACCATTTCTTGAGATATTATAAAATTTATTGATATTGGTCTCAATTTGTCTATAAAAATGGTGGTTATAATGTTTGAGTAGTTAAAACTAAAATTGGAAAGACTGCTAGTGTTAGCAATCAGCATGTAATTGATCCAAATGTGAAATATTGCTGGCCTTCAGATGAAAAGTCAAACCAAGTCAGAACAAACCAGAACAAATCTGCTTGTTCAAGTGGACATTAAAGATCCTATTGCACTTTCACTATTCGAAAATAGAAGGTGTCCTGGCTAACAATCTCCCAATAAAACTGTCATTCACTTCACGGCTGTTTGTGACTTTGCTATGTGCAAATTGGCTGTTGTGTTGGTCCACAAACAGTCACTATACTGTATGTGAGTTGCACACTCATTAAACTCTGTACCCCCATCACACCAGTCCTTGCCAGTCTCCACTGGCTCCCTATCCCCGAACGGATCAATTTCAAGATCCTCACTCGTTTTCAAATCCCTTCATTCCCCTGCACAGCCCTACTTCTCCGACCTGCTTACCCCTCATCGCACAGCCCACTGCCTCTGCTTGACTGGTTCTGGCCTTCTGCACATCCTTCGTGCTCTCCGTTCCACCATTGGTGTCCACATTTTCAGCCACTACACCCCGAAACTCTGGAACACTCTTCCTCTATCTCTCTACTTTGCCCCTTTCTTCACCATCTTCAGGTCGCGCCTGAAGAACTTCCTATGCAACTGTGCCCACTGTTACCTCCGCCTCGCCCGGCTCAGCGACGTGCTCCACCACCGTCAAGCACTCTAGGACACTGCACTGCGTGAGGGGCACTATATAAGTGCAAGTTGTCATGGTTTACAGCACATCTTGTGAAAGGCGGGGCATCCTGCCAACCTGAAAGGCACTATGTGAGGATTAATATTAATATATAATCTCTATTCTGTGTTGTAGACTGGTGTTATACTTCATGTAACAAAGCTATCAAGAATATGCAGATACAATGCAATGAAAGTTCAAGTATCAGCTTGGATCAGGTCATAGCATTCTTGCCTCTAGGCCAGAAGGTTGACCAAGCCTTAATAATAATAATCCTTGCATTTGATATAGCGCTTTTCACGTCGGGAGGACGTCCCAAAGTGCTTCACAGAACACACTGTAAAGTGACGTGACTGTATATTTGTGGGCGAACGTGGCAGCCAATTACGCACAGCAATGTCCCACAAACAGTCGTAGATTGAAAATGACCAATTTTTATTATTGTTTTTGATTTTGGAGGGATTATTATTAGGTGTGTGGAGTAAGGAAACTTGCCCAAGGTTTCGCCCTCTGCCTGGAATTGAACTCAGGTCTCTCGCTTGCAAAGCGAGTGCTCTAACCACTGAGCTACAGGACTCCAGAAGGGATTTTCTCCCAATTTCTTTGTCAACAATCCTCCGGATAAATTGGTCATTCAATCATGTCTGTTTGTGAGACCTTACTGGCACAAAATAATTGCTGTGGTTGCCTGCAAAACTAATCACTACACTTCATCAAAATGCAGTAAAGACCTTTGAGATAATTCAACTTGATGAGGCACTAATAAAATTACTTTCAATAAAATTGAGTCACACTCCAGTCAAAGATTGGTTGAGGTTAGGAATTCAAAGTATCTAGTCTTTCAACACATTCCAAGCACAAAGTGATACCTCTACAACTTTGTAACAGGCTTTTTTTCCTCATAAAAGAAAATCTCTCCAAAAGCCAGTTTTAACTTCCAACAGAAATCAAACAAAGGAAGAAAATCTGCTACTTATAATGGATTTAGCTACAAGAAAACAATCAGCACAAGTACACCATCAGGGCTTCACAGCACTATTGTACAAGAGAGCAATTGTTTGTCCAGTGAAGTACCAGTGTTTGGGAGCATTGACTTGCTTATTCAGAACAATAAGCTACCCATTTAGTTTAGACAGCTCCCTTAACCCTTCCTGCTTTGTGAATCAGTTACATCATTCAAGCACAATTCAGCTACAAGCACAGAACAAAATAACTCATCCTGCAGTAATGTGTCTCCGTCACTATAAAAGGCAATGAGTGATCTGGCTGATAATACAATGCAACCATTTAAATTCTTACAATTGTGCCTGAAAAACTGGCTTTTCACCAATTTTCTTCATATTACCATTCCCTTCTCGGAATGGTAAGTGTTAAGAAAGAATATAGAGAAGCCAGAATGAGCTTAATTGGTTAGGAATAGTTAAACTAATATGATTATAACAAATAAAGAAATGAAGAAACACTAGGCAAGGGAAAACAGAATTATAGCAAAATTCTCTGGAATATTTGAGTTAGCTAATGAACTTGCAATCCTTCACAACTTTGGTGAAAGTGCAATTTTCACTAAGAATATGCTAAGAATACTCCTACTCTGAGCAGACAATAATGTTTAAAAGAAAGGATTTTCAAACCAACATTTTAAAATTGTGAAACTTAATTAAAATAGTTTATTAATTTGATATGGAAAATAAGTCATTTAGATAAGCAAGATAAATGCAATTCAACCTGAAGGGTAAATGGACAACTGAAATATTACATTAGCAACTAGTAGCACGGTAAGCATCAGCAATGTTTTACAGGGATTAATGATTTTGGAACGACTCCCAAGGCAGTCCCCATTAAAGTAAACGGAGGTGCCCCAGGTTACATGTAGACTCTTGATAATGGATATCACCAGAGCTATTGAGAGAGGAAACAGAAGGCCTCTGCAAACCTGGAACAATAACTTCTATTTCATTAAGGGGTAGACTTATATTAATTTCGGATTAAGACAGTGCTGTGAACAAAAATCACTCCACCTGGAATATTCTACAATTATCAGCATTGCCTGGTTCGATTGAGGCAAACGGTCTCATCTGAAGTGTGGGGTTTAAAAGAAATCTGCACATGCATATTTACACAAATATCTAGAAATATAGTCAATCTTTTTCCAGAAAGCTTACCTCAGGGTCAAACATATCTGGACAAGGTTCTCTGTTCTCTTCATCAGTCACTACTTGAGTAGATGTTGCTTTCGACTTATCCATTTGTTCAGCAATGATTGGCCTTGCAGTACAACTGGAATAACTGTGGGAATCCACTACTCCAAACACCTAATTTAACAACAAAATTCATTAGAGGCAGGAATTGCACAATCATTCAGTAACAGATTTAAACACATTGGAGGAAGAAGTTCATCTGTCTAAGGCAATTTAGCAATATTAAATAATTACAGCTACAACAAATATTCCTAGCAACACAAATACTGCAAAGCCTTAAACAATAATTCAGTACAAAGGATATCAAAAGGATGCTTGCTACACATTTTTTATGCAAAGGAATAAAATACAATAATCAATAGAACGTTTAAAAATATTGTATTAGAATGAGATTTAATGGAAAATAAATACTTCATGCATCTATTCTTCACCCCACAAAACTGATTTCTTCTCATCCCTGTTCATTTTGACATTACCATAGGTTAAATCAGGCTACACAATCTTGGGAGAATTGAGGACCTTTCTTCAAAATAACATGCTCAATAGAGTATTTTTAAAGAGATGAAATTATTTGGGATCACAAACAAAAAGTTACAATTTATACATTCTTTGAGTTATCAAAAACAGTCTTACATCAGAAATTCACCATGCTTTCACAAGGCATCACTACTACAACAACAAGATTACATTTCTGTAGCGCCTTTCACGTCGGGAGGACGACCCAAGGCTCTGAAAGGTGTACAGGGGGGAGAAGGGAGGGAAGGGGAAGGGGGGTGGCCTATGGCATGGTCGAAGAGGAGGGTCTTGAGGTGGGATTTGAAGGAGGTTAAGGAGGGGGTGATGCGGAGTGAGATGGGGATAGAATTCCAGAGGTTAGGGGCAGAGTGGCTGAAGGCTCTCCCGCCAATGGTGGGGCTTGTGGGTCGGGGGACGTGGAGCAGGACAGAGCCGGCTGAGCGGAGGGAACTGGCGGGTTGGTAGGGGGTTAGGAGGTTGCAGAGGTAGGGTGGGGCGAGGCCATGGAGGGCTTTGTAGGTGAGGACCAGGATCTTGAATTGGATCGTCTGAAGGATAGGGAGCCAATGGAGTCTGGCAAGAATGGAGGAGATAGGGTCAAGGAGTTTTGTGCGGGAGAAGACACGGGCTGCAGAGTTCTGGATTAGAGTCCTGTAGCTCAGTGGTTAGAGCACTCGCTTTGCAAGCGAGAGACCTGAGTTCAATTCCAGGCAGAGGGCGAAACCTTGGGCAAGTTTCCTTACTTCACACAGAGCCTAATAATAATCCCTCCAAAACCCCAAACAATAATAAATTGGTCATTTTCAATCTACGACTGTTTGTGGGACATTGTTGTCGGAGTGTGGGAGGGAGGGGGTGGGGGGTTGGTGGATGTTGGAGGGGAAGTGACCGCGGAGCGAATTCCCTTGATCTTGGATTCAAGGAAATCCAGCATCTCCTCGCAGTGAAGGTTGGAGGAGATGACCTGTGCGGGGTGGCGGGGGGGGACGGAGGAGTCGGGTTTTGGTGGAAAACAGTAGCCTGGGGTTGTTCTTCGCCTCCAGGATTATCCTGGAGTAGAAGGACGACTTGGCCGAGGCTAGAGTGGAGCGGTAAATTTTGAGGAGGTCCAGCCAGATTTGTCGGTGGACCGTTAGGCCAGATTTGACAAAGGTGCGTTCAGCAGCCCGCACCTGGTTTTTCAGTGAGCGGAGGTGGGTGGTGTACCAGGGGGAGGAGCAGGAGTAGGAGACAGTGTGGGAAGTGATGGGGGCAAGAGTATCGAGTGTGGAGGAGAGGGTATTGTGGAGGAGGGAGAGAGGAGAAGAGGGGTCGGTGAGGGTTGAAGGCCAGAGGGAGAGGAGTTCAGAGGACTCCAAGGCATCGGTTAGGGATTGTGGGGGTAACTTCTTCCAAGGGCGGTAGAAGATGGTGGTGGGTCTGGTGGAGGTGGGGAAGGGGGTGGAGGTGGTGAAGGAGATGAAGTAGTATAGGGGGGATGGGTGGGGCGTGGGTCATGAGGGAGAAGTGATATGGGGGTGACTGTGGACGGGGCTGAGGTGGTTGAATGTATCCCCTCAATTTTAGATTACTACAAGAGTAATGACACCAGAATGTAAAAGTCTGATCTCTTTTGTTCCGTTATAAGCTTATGAACTATTGTCTAAAACATCCCAATAGATGCTTCTATTTTTTCAGTGACTTCACAAAATAACCATGGATTTTTACATTTATTGTCATTTGAATTTTGAGACGTGCAGGTTAATCTCAAATGTAAACAGTAATAAATATATTTCAGATTTACAAAAAAGCAATACAAGAGAAAATTAAAGCACATCTCTCTTAGCTTTCTTTTTGGTGGGGCTATGTGAGCGATTCGTTTTTTAAAAAAAAGCACCACCTGTCATTACGTGAAGCAATTAAGGAAATGCACTTTGCGTTTCTGCCCTAGAGGGCTTCCCATGACTGGTGAGTAAATGCATTTTGCTGCCCATGGGGTAGCATGAGCCGGACAAGAATGTCTTTGTAATAACAACAACACTGTTACATTTGGATCGCGCCTTTCATATCAGGAGCACGTCCCAAGGCACTGGAATATTATATATGGCTCGGTGGAAACAAAAAAAATCCCTGATTAATTTGCCTATGGTGTTTTAAAGAGGATTTGAATGGCTTTCAGAATGCTTATTACATAATACCATGGTACATTCACCTTCCACAGTCATGCAAGCTGCTAAGTGACTATGTGGACAAGAGACATCACTGAAAAGGAAGAGCTTCTGAAATGACTCTCCAAACAGTTACCTTTATTACGCAAAAGTCGCAAGTAGGAATTGTTGATCAAAGGCATGGTTTTCTAACTAGAGAAAAGGATTGGTGGAGGGGGTTGGGGAGAGATTTTCACTGTATGAAATTGCTACAAATGTATTCTTTAACACGGCAATGATAGAAACTGGTACTTAAATTTAAAATTAAACACAAATTTCAAATTGTCAAATCCAAGATAATGGGGAAAACATTATTTGCAAAGATCATTCAAGCAAACTTGATGCAGAAATGGGCATGAGGGAACATCAGAGGGAAAACAACAACAACAACAAGATTCCACTTATAGAGCGCCTTTCACGTCAGTAGGACGTCCCAAGGCGCTGTACAGTTGAGTCAGGACCCGAGCATTGGGGGAAAATGGTCAGGGTGAGGGGAGGGAAGGGAGGGTGCGAGGAGGGGGGAAATGGTCAGGGTGAGGGGAGGGAAGGGAGGGAGCGAGGAGGGGGTAGAGAGTCGAGAGGGGAGCTGAAGGCACGGTCAAAGAGAAAGGTCTTGAGACCGGCCTTGAAAAACAAGCTGATGCCCCTCAGGCAGTTCATCGCCATAATTTTATCTCTTTAAACAGTTTTCCCTCCGACTGCCGCCTGGGCACTTGTGGTGTACCCTTAGGCTCCATCCTTTACATGCTCCCTCTTGGCGATGTCATCTGCAGACATGCGGTAAACTTCCACATGTAAGGGGATGACACCCATAATCTTCTTCTCCTCCTCCAGCTTTTACTCCAGGTCCGCTGATGTTCTGTCAGCTTGTTGTCAGACATCAAGGCCTGGATAAGAGCAAATTTCCTGCAGCTGAATGCTGACAAGACGGAATCCATGGCTACAGTCAATGTCTTCTCTTCAGTGGCTCTGACCTCATCAACCTCCCTGGCCCTTCCCTAAGAGTTACCGAACCTGTACATAACCCAGGCATCACGTTCAATCCCCAGCTTTCCTTCTTATCCTACATCTGGTCCCTAACCAGGACCGCCTTCTTCCACCTCCATCTCAGTGCCCGCCTCTGACCAATGCAGCCAAAACCCTTGTCCACGCCTGTGTCTCCTCCCTCCTCCTCGGTCTCCCCAGCTCCACTATCCAACTGCTCCAAAATCTTGTCACCTGTATTCTCACCCGCTCTAAACTCCACACCCCATCACATCTTGCCAGGCTCTACTGGCTCATTATCATAGAATGGGATCCACTTCGAGATCCTCACACTCTACAAATCCCTTCACACCCTGGCACCTCCCAACCTCTCTGACCTGCTTATTCCCCATGGGCATTAAGCATAATATTTATCTTTGCTGTGAGAGTCAAGATTAAGATTTTGTCCCACAGTCGGTAGCCATACGAATTTCTAACCTTCCTTTGCCCCCTGCAAAGCTCTGCTGCATTTAAGACTGCTATGTCATCCCCATTAGAAATATCAAGCTCCATGTCTAGGAGTAATACAAAGGAGGAACACTGAAGGAGTGTTAAAGCAGCAGCTGAACATTCAAAGAATATTACCTGTGTCCTCATTTGTTCAATCTCCACGCACAAGTCAAAGAATCCAGAAAACAACAACAAAAATATATTTGTATAGCGCCTTAAAACACAAGTAAGATAGTTTGATTTAATTTTGAGCTTCAGCTGCTGAAACTGCTTTGTGAATGCCTTCAAATTTCAATTTCAATTGCACAAAGTTGAAATTGGGCCACAGACTGGTTAGAGCACAGCTTGACAACCTTCACCTTAACTGCTACGATGAGCTAAATATATTCTTCTACTCATTTATCGATATGCTGGTTGTTAATACTATTCTGACAGAACAATGAACTGACAGTATAATTATTTTATCAACTTCTTTTCTACAACGTGAACATAAGAAAATGCAATCCGAAAGAGCTGTTACACTACAACAAAATCTTTGCTCATGGAGTTCAGCTCAATTGTGCAATACATCTAACAATGTTAAATACCACTTATGAAGTGGTATAGGATTTGGGTGTGAAAATGTGGGCTTGTTTCCTTACTCCACACGCCTAATAATAATCCCTCCAAAACCAAAAACAATAATAAATTGGTCATTTTCAATCTACGACTGTTTGTGGGACATTGCTGTTCGCAATTGGCTGCCACGTTCGCCCACAAATATACAGTCAATTCACTTTACAGTGTGTTCTGTGAAGCGCTTTGGGATGTCCTCCCGACGTGAAAAGCGCTATATCAAATGCAAGGATTATTATTATTATAAAAAATATTGAAATTAAAAAGATTACTTTGCATATGATGCAGTATACTGTAGCCAGTGAGAAGCTTATGAAAGGTGAAACCAGGTGGATACATTAACTGCTGACACTGAAGTCTTATTGCAATGCCGGTTTATTTTTAACAGCTGGGGTGGGAAGATGGTGTAATTTGTCCCACTATTCTAATTTGAAAGACAAGTCAATACTCTACTCCTGAAAAGCACCATTTGTGTGAAAATTTACCAAATAGCTCCATGGAACCACATTTATTTCCAGGATGATGTCACCTACTCTCTAATCTTCTCTTTTCCAAGTGCCCCAGTCTCCTTTCCCCATCAAACTTTTCACTTACTCACCTGTTTATCACATTATGTTTCTATTGCTGTTTGCTCTCTAGGCAAGTGGGATTCCTGATAAGGGAGATGGGGTTAACCCCCATTTCAGCACAGATTAAAATATTCAACACATGGAAAGCAGTTTTTAGAATATGAAGAAACCTGAAAATGTCAAATTGTGCCATGGAATGACTTAACGACATCCTCCTGACATGAAAGGCGCTATACAAATATAATTTGTTGTTAAAATTCTCTTGCTAAGAGAGCAACCAGAAATAAAAATAAATAATAATAATTCTTGCATTTGATATAGCGCCTTTTTCAGCAAATTTTTCACAAAATATACTGTAAAGTGAATTGACTATATACTTTGTTCGTGAAACACGGCAGGAATAAAAATACGGCATTATTGAAGAGTGAGAATCAAGGAAGGTAGTTGGAAACTGTAAGAAAGGTTAGAAAATAAACAAGTACACACATCATATTTGAATCTAGCTTTCCAGTCAGACCAACCCTAAAACTCCTGCTTCACATCACAGTCTTATTGAATTAGCATTCTAAGGGAAAACTCAATCACAATTAGGAAGTACAACAATGGTGGAAATCATTGGATAATAATTCTTGTTTAAAGACATTTTTAATGCCACAGCCAACTAACTGGTAAGATGTTATGTAGACAAAATTGACTACAATATACATCCTCTAAAACTCTTACCATGTCAATCATCCTACGAGCTTCCTCTTCTTCTGGATTGGGATTTTCAAGTTCAATGGTATATGTTCCTTTATCGCTTTGGTCATCTTCATTTTCCTTGCCAGCAGATGGTGAAATCTGTTTTTGCTGTTCCTGCTCTTGACTTTGGCTTGGTCTGTGTTCAATGCTACCAGAACTTTGTAGCAGTGCTGTCTGGGAAGATGGTAAAGGAGGGGATGATTCGACAGTCTTCTGGTTTTGCAAAGGTTTGTTCTGGTGATGCCCAGGTATATTGTGTGATGATTTAGTAGGATTAGAACTTGACTGTGGTGGTGAAGAAGCAAGTTTAAACTCTGTCACACCTCCTTTTGTTCTGTCTGGCCTTGCAGGTGGAAATGGATGAAGACCTTCTTGGGGTATAGCGGCTGCATTTTGGGTGAAAGAATAGGATCGTCTCTTTCGTGGATTACTGTCATCAAAGAACTCAATCATGAAGGCAGTCCTACTCATTACAGGAGCTTCGTGAGCCTTTTCTGAAGTCACAGACTTCTGTTGAAGAAGAAATTTCTGCTGTTCGGTACGGTACATCTTCAGCTGATCTTCAAGTGCAACATGTTTGTAAGCATGTCTGTGACCATTTCCATTTTCTGTATCACTCTGTGTACCATCATCATGCTTATTCCCTAAATAAGAAAGCTAAATTTAGAGCACAGAATTTCTGAAAAACAATCTGTGGCTATTGATTATGGAAAATAACACAAGTGAAGGCAACACTTAGCAACTGTTCAACAAGTGTACTATCGGACTTGCGTACATTGTAGTGATAGTCGCTGTCAATACGTAACACTGCATAAACAATAACCCTTTTAGGAACTGGGTAACAGATCAGGGGTAGAACTGAGTTATTGTTCTGCAGATTCCAGTCCATTCTGTAGAACTACACAGCAGTGTAGTTTCTGACTTGGACGATCAGGAAAAATCAAACCAGCTGCGCTGATTATGCTCTACCTACATACTTGCTAACCAATGTCATTGTTAATTAAGCAATGGAAGGGGGTTTAAAGAAACATACGTACATATTTAATGACACTGAATATGTATATATGTACAAATGTTGAAAGGAGAGCATTTAGGAATATTACAATTTTGACCTTAAAACATTTCAAAGCTTCCCGGCTCTAACGCCAAAGGAAGTCATGTCATACATTTGATTTTTGCCACTGTGCAAAATACGAAGACAACAGGGAAATGATTCATATCCCAGGATTTATTTCAGATTGGGACAACAAGTATGAATATCTGCAAAGTAACGGTGGCAAAATAGGCCTTTATAGTTGTAATGAAAACCGAGATAGTTTCTTCAATTAATCACAGAAATGTCACAAGGAAATCTGTTACAAATTTTACCAAGTGGTTTAATTTTATCCTGATATTTTAGAAGGACGTACGTATTGACTTGTGCCTGAACGTTTTCAAGGCAAACAATGTCAAGCGACATTCTCCTGTAGATAAAAACATAATGATATTTGACAGCTATGAAAGGTCACACAGACAGCAACACTGCCTAGTATGAGCAGCAGTGGATGTATGTCTGTGGATATACTGTGTGGAAATATTAAAACCCAAATTATAAAGCTGCTCTATTTCATAGAATTCGATCACCGATACATCTGAATGGATTGTATAAAATTATATTCACAATGAAATCCAAGAACCTTACAGCCTGGGCCAATAGAAAAGTGTGGCTGCACTTCCGCAGAAACAGCAACAAATACTCTCCTCCACCACAAACACCCGTGCCACTAGAAACCTGTACAGGCCCCGGGCCTCTGTGCGCTGTTTGCAACCGTGGGTGGAGCGGTTCCAGCCGCACATGCACGGCACAGGGAGTCTTGAGATTGCAGAAGCAGCACGAGCGGGAAATCGGCTTCGCCCGGTGCCCGACCTAAACTGAGCTCTTGGGGCGAATTCTTGGTAAGTGCTGTACTATTCAAATTCATATTTTTAGTATTTTGAACATAACTACATGTTCAGTAAATATGCCTATAACTTTCACTGTTCAAGAACATCTCTCAATAACATATATCAATCCTCCGTAATTTTCCAAACAATTTACCATATCTATCCGTACAATTTGCCAAATGCCCCGCAATATTTGGCAAATATTTCCGCCCTTTTCTACTGCCCAGCTCATAACCCATTAACTTTAATTTGTCAATGATTATTCAACTGCTGGGCGATCTAAACCACACATCTCTAAATTCTGAAATCCAACATTCACAATTATTGACCAGTCTAATTGTCATACTTGGTTACATCTGTATTGCAGGGTCAAGAGCCTCCCATTAACTACATTTTTGGGTAAATTTCTATTTTCAATTAAATTATTTGATCTTCAAGTTCTTAGTTACTAACAGCAGTCTCTTGAATGTAAGTTACCAATCGTCTCTTCAATCTAAATTGCGTAGACATCAAGAACTTTTGAAAGATTTTTGTATGCTAAAAGAACAACACTGGAAGTGAATGCTGACAACTAAATATCTACGGGAATGAAGATTAGTGGGAAAACATATGCAAGAATGTACTGAATATAGAGCGGAGTGATAAATGTGGTAAAAATGTGATTTAACAATTCTAGCACTGGTGGAATGAAAAATCAGAAGTCACATAAAAACAGGAATAAAAGCAAATGCCTTAGAATTACAAAACTACCAGTAAGTCAGGTTTATGATTGAATCTAACCATGCAAGTCATAATTATATCATGTCCTGTTGGCTTCACTCGTTTAAGAAAAACAAACATCTGAATCCTTTTGCCACTATTAGTCACAAAAGATTATTCAAATTTTGACCTTCACTTGTGAAATTTGCTCATCGAGTGAACATAGGAACAGGAAGAGGACATTCAACCCATCGTGCCTGTTTCTTTCAGTATATTAGATCATGGAAGGTCTTTTAATCGCATTTGCCTTTTTTTCTACAAACTCCTTTATGCTTCAAGTGCTTCAAGTGTGGAGTCCTGTAGCTCAGTGGTTAGAGCACTCGCTTTGCAAGCGAGAGACCTGAGTTCAATTCCAGGCAGAGGGCGAAACCTTGGGCAAGTTTCCTTACTCCACACAGAGCCTAATAATAATCCCTCCAAAACCAAAAACAATAATAAATTGGTGATTTTCAATCTATGACTGTTTGTGGGACATTGCTGTGCGCAATTGGCTGCCGCGTTCGCCCACAAATATACAGTCAATTCACTTTACAGTGTGTTCTGTGAAGCGCTTTGGGACGTCCTCCCGACGTGAAAAGCGCTATATCAAATGCAAGGATTATTATTATTATTATTAAGTATTTATGCCTCTCTTAAAATACAATTGACTTTGCGTCTATGGCCTTCTGGGATAGGGGATTCCGCCTTTTCAACACTCCCGTGTGAAGAAATGTTTGCTGAACTACCTTCTAATTGATTTAGTTTTAATTTTATTATGATCCCTTGTTTTGATCCCTCAAGAGAAAGAGTAGTTACCTTTCTAGGTGGTCATTTCCCTTCATTTTAAACAACTCAATCAGATCACCTCTTGAAGTCCTCAGCTCGAAGAAACATAACCCAAGTCTACCTTGATTAAGCTCCTTCATCCCAGATATTAACCTTGTGAATTTTCCCTGGATGCCCTTCAAGGCTGTTATCTCCTTCCTATGTTTAGCTGCCCCAAACTGAACACAATACTCACAAGGTCTGACCGGTGCTATAAATAACTGCAATAGCATTTCCTTGCCTTTACATACAATATCAAAAAGAGGAATGAAATAAAATACTAATCCAATCCTATTTAAATATCAAGGAATTATAGCAAACAATGAATTATAGGAAAAAATGCTATAACATCTTTATTCCAGCATTTACTATTTTTCTCCAAACAAGCCAGTTTAAAAAAAACAACGATTTAGTAAAGCAAAATTACAATTAAGAAATGTCTTGCAACATTTTGAAGTTTACATTAAATATGTATCACGTGAATGACCAAGCCTTACCTTTTAACCTTTTCATCTGAATTGGGATGTCACTCTTAATGCTTTTAGAATCGTCTTCTGTGGACTCGCATCTCATTCTCGGGGGATTATTTTGTGCCAACCAATCAGCCACTTTGCTTTCTGCAGCAATCATTGCAGCCTGGAGCCCAGACACCTCTTTCGTGGCTGGAGGCGATTTCTTCTGCTTGTGGCGCTGGTCTGGAGTGAACTTAGTCACATGATCTTTGATTGTCACTTTTCCTGGAGTATTATCATCAAATTCAATTGTAAATGAAGCATGACCTTGAACTACTGTGTGGGACGTTTCCGTATCCTTTGTAGGAATTTCATGAATCGAGCTTTCTGCCAGTTGAGCAGATTGATGAAATTCTTTCGTGGGGATTTCAAAATAGCTTGGTTCTCTGCAGAATGGGTATGGTACTTCTCGCAAATCATTGCCATCATCTTCTAGTTTATTGGCTTCCTTGACCTCTCCTGAAAAAATAATTAGGCCAATAAATTCACTCTTTGTTAAGGGTGCAAGCCTGCAGTTAAAAAGCAAATTATTTGGAAACTGTCATCAGAAACAAATTTTTAAGGTTTACATATTTCCAAATGACCATCAAAAGAACAGTATTTTGAAGAATGTCTCCATGCAATTCCAAATAATGTACACTTGTTCAATTCTGAAATGAACCTTTTTATGGCATTAACTAAGGAGTTGGTCCAGCAGCTAATTTAACCATGCAGACCACAGCAGTTGATGTGAATTCCATATGTTAAGTGAGACATCAGGAGATTCCAATGGAAGCCATGCATTTTTCCATACTGTACAAAATACAAAAGACACATGTAAAAATTGTGTTTTATTTTGTTTGGAATGCACATTCGGCTGGAGTGATTTCTATGTCTCAAGACTAAAGCAGATGTAGACTTGTTACTTGGAAAATAATTAATTTGCGATCTTGAAAGTGTTTCAAAAATCCCTTGTGGAATACTAATAAAAGGTGGCTAGAACTTTCTGAGTCTTCTGAGCCTGGGCAATTCTCTGGATATAAAACTTGTATTGCTTGTGCCCTTCACGTAGGGCAATGTCTGGGTCGAATGTTGAGTATGGGAGAGGGAGGGAAAACATGGAGTTGACCATATGCACAGTTGGAAGAGGTAGGTTTTAAGACAGGCCTTAGACACAGAAAGGGGGGTAGATGAGGGATAGGGAGAAATTTGAAGCCTTGGCCACAAATGGTGATGTGGAGAAGGTGAGAAATGCACAGCATAGCAGAGTTTGCCGAGAAGTGGGGGCAGAGAAGTCGGATAAAAGATCAGAAGTAAAGTGTTAGGGCATGAAGGGATATATAGATGAGAGTGAGGATCTTGAAATCTATCCATTGAGACAGGAAGATAGTAAAGCTGGAATTACATTCTTAGTCTACAAAAAAAGATTACCTACTTGCAAGTGATTTGGGACCTTACAAAGTGATAAAATACTATCAAAGTGCAAGTTCTTTTAAACTCATGAAAGTTTTGTTCATTACTGAAGGTTCCATAGTTTCAGCGCTTTGGGATGTCTTTCTCACGTGAAAGGTGCTAATATAAATGCAATTTGTTGTTTGTCCGTTTGTAAGCTTCCTTAAAACAAACAAGAGGGTAGCAACTCCAGCTATGTTAATGTATAAATACATTTTGATAGGAGCCCATTAGAACTAGAGGGCTCAGCATTTACCTTCTGCAAAACTGTTTTCCAGCTTCCCAGTCTCTGGTTTGGGGTCCTGCTTACTGGAATTTTCATCATCTGCATCATCCTCACCCCACCAAGAAGGCTGTCCATAGAGAGGAGTACCACGGGGCATAGCAGAAAGATCCACTGGAAAGCAAAAAATCAAGGAAGGTTAGCTCTCATGAAATTATTACTGGTAGCAACAAAGTTATGAGCTATGAATCTTTTCCATGATAATGATAAATAATGAGAGGAATATCTTTGCTTTGAACACTGAACATTCCAATTTAGTTAATTGGAAATTAGCTCATCAGATTTACAGGTCAGGTTACAAGGATACTACATTTTTACTTTTAACATAGGTTATTAATTCCTTTCCTAATTGCTATTAAGAAATATAGTAATATTTTGTAACTGACAATGCAGGGTCCGACCACTTAACCAAAATACTTGAACCATTCAGAAATAAAGCATGCTTTAAAGCAGCACAGACTAAAGTTATGTTTATACTTAGTCACAACCACCTACAAATTAAGCACCATTACATCACACAACTAGTAAGGCAGCTGATCAGGAATGAAATCCTATCTCACATATTCCAACAGTTTCAGAATGCAGAGCACCTTTCTTATTGACCCAATTTAAAACGGGGAACTGTTAAGGATATGCTGTAAAATCAGAATTTGAAACATGAAGGACTAAAATAATACAAATATTTTGTGCAATGCCCTATAGCAAAGCTGAGGACAGAAATTACTGGGAAGAAGTGAAAGAATCAAAGCAGCTGGGCTAAGAGCAGTGACCAGCAAAGGCCAGGGAACAGATTCTCTTTCCATCCAAAATCTCAAATAAATGTATGGCCCAGGGAAACAAATGAGGAAGAAAAAGACAGTTGTTTAAATTGTCAATAAAGAAATTAGCTTTATTGACTTGCCTAAGTATATCAAACATTAAATCAAGATTTCCTTTCTTTTCCCCTCCCTCGGATTCAACTGCATTCTGCTTTGTGAATGAATCTAAACATTAGCACTGGACACCAATTAAACAATTCTGTTCATGAGTGTAATGCTAAATGTTTAAATGAAATGGGTTGCAGCGCATATTATAAGGAGACTGACTAATATTTACAGGTACAAGATGCATGAGGGACTTCAACAATGCAGTATTTTCTGCTGCAATACGAAAAATTCTATACAAAGAATAAAATAAATAAAATACAGTATTTTTTTACTGCACCACTCAAACTTTAAATATCAGAAAATACAACTCTCAAATACAAAACCACTCTGACATTTGTGAATGCTAAAACTTGTATTTGACTAAACACAAGAAGCTCCAAATTCTCAATGGGCTTAATTTTCAAAATTAAAATTGAATTTAAGATTTTTCTAAAATTTTGCACAATCTTAAATGTTACTAGGTTGGTCTTAAGGCCTTGAGGAATTTCATGCTTCTAGTTTGCAACGATGCATTTGATCAACTTGTAGAATCTTTGCTACATACAACCAATGATATCTAAAGTTGGCTATTGGTCGATTGCAGTCCACGTCCATTCAAAAAATCCAGTTAATCATTTATTGATTTGGTATATTATTCCTGAGATACTGCATTTCTGGTTTCTGTTTTGTGAAAAGTGGCTAACATTAAATCAGAAATGAGCTGACTGAACTGTCTTTGATAATAAAGATGTGTGACAACGCAAACTGGATGACTACAAATGGAGGAAAATTACAAAACAAAGCATCTTAATGCAACAATATGCAATTTTTCAAGGTGATAGAATATTTAAGGGATGAAACACCACAATATACTGTAGCAAATTACCTGCAGATTTCCCATCCACTTTCGGCATCTCTGCTGCAATCGGAATGACTTCAGCTTTGGCCTCCTCAGAACTGCTATGCACCTGCTTTGGCACTTCAGCCTCTGGAGGTCTCGGAGTCAATTGCAACTGGCTAGTAAACTTTTCATGCTAAAACAGAAGATTCAATTTAGTCCTGGGTTAATAGAAAATCTATGGCAGTTTCCGTTAAAATGTAATCACCATATGAATATTTAAAATTAGATGAACCCTTCAGCACAGCAGTTCGACTCAGCCAGTTTGCCCAACAACTTCCGCCAGACATACCTTAAGTGCTTCCTCAGGGACACGCAGTTCCCCTCTCTCGACAGTGAACAAATTGGTATGTAAAGTATATTAAGGAAGGAAAAAACGACAGCATTGTGAAGAGGAATAAAATGTGGTCAACAAATTAAAATACAGTACGTTGCTGAGATATTTCAGAAGCGAGCTTGACAAATTGTTCAGAAAATTCGAAAACCAAACTCATGCAATTCTGAACTTATGAATACTATAACAATGAGCGTTTGGGTGATATTTTTACAATGAGTGGACTGCTTGAATGCGAAAGCAAAAAATTATTCATTTTTAAAAAAGCAGAAAGTGACAAAGATGGATAGCATCAGAAGAGAGGTTAATGTTTCTGGTGCGACCTACATTAGAACAGTGAAGCTGGAGAATTCCTCCTATAGGAGGTTCTATCCTCAATGAGTTGGACTACTGTGCTTTAAGGGAATGTAGTGCATACCAATTGGCATAAAAGATGTAAAGGATCTTCAGTAAGCTTGATTATTAGAATATCCATTTAGTGTACAGTGAAGGGAGACAGTTGTTAAATGCTTAAGCAGTGAGCCTCTTCTGTTTATAGATGATGCAGCAAAAATTGTATCTTGTGATTATTAAGTCATGGTTAAAATGTTGAAGTCTGCATTAATAAGGCTTAATTAGATGTGTTTTCACAAAAAGCTAAAACATTAAAACACATGCTACCTATACATCATAAATAATACTGCATTCCCAATGAATAGAAGTCACTTCTCTCTGTTGAGACTGCGCTGTGAAGAAAGACAAATTCAGCCAAGATTCTCATTTGTGTTCACTATTCTGGAGAGTACAGAGCAGGAGGGGACAAAGGCTGAGGGGAGGAAACATGTCAGTCTTGATGATTCAAATATTGAAGAATCCACCCACACATGCCGTACAGTCATTATCAATATGGAAGGGCTGCCAGCATCAAGAGAACCGTACTCCAACATAAAAGCACCACCTCTAATGAAAGAAAGACCTGAAGAAAATAATAATCCTTGCAGTTGAATAAAATTGAAGTAATATTAATACAAGGTTACATTTGTATAGCGCCTTTCACGTCGGGAGGATGTCCTAAGGCGCTGGACAGTGTAAAGCATTTTAGACCCGAGCTGGGGTCGGGGGAGGAGAAGGGAGGGAGGGGAAGGGGGGTGGCAGATGGCATGGGGGGGAATAAGAGTTTCAGAGGCCTGAGGGGTGAGGTAGTGACAGAGTCGGGCGATGTTACGAAGGTGAGGGAAGGCAGAGCGGGTCATGGCTTGGATGTGGGGATGAAAAGACAGTTGAGGGTTGAACAAGTCACCCAGGTTCCTGACTGGCTTGGTGAGTTGTAGTGTGCAACCATGAAGGTTGATGCTGCCAGAGCCTGATCTGCAGAGGCGTTGGCGCGACCCAATCAGGAGGGCCTCAGTCTTGTTCACATTCAACTGTAGGAAATTTGCCCTCATCCACGACTTGATGTCCGAGAGGCAGTCAGGACAGCAGTGGACCTGGAGTTGAGGGTGGAGGTAGAAAGATAGAGTTGGGTATCATCCGCATACATATGGAAATTGACCCCATGTCTGAGGATGATGTCACCAAGTAGATAGATATTAAAGAGGAGAGGGCCAAGGACAGAGCCCTGGGGGACGCCAGACGTGACAGTGAGGGGGCTGGAGGAGAAACCGTTAGAGACAACAAAGTGGAGACGGTGAGAGAGATAGGAATCGAACCAGGCAAGGGCAGGTCCGTGAAGATTAAGTAAAGAGGTGAGGCGGTGTATAAGGATGGAGTGGTCGACAGTGTTGAAGGCGGCAGAGAGGTCGAGGAGGACAAGGAGGCAGAGGGAGCCCTGATCACAGATGTTCAGAATGTCATTAGTGACTTTGACCAGGGCTGTTTCCGTGCTGTGGGCAGCGGGGAAGCCGGATTGGAGGGGTTCAAAGGAATGGTGAGAAAGAAAGGAGTGGAGCTGGGACGCGACGACTCGTTCCAGGACCTTGGAGAGGAATCGGAGGTTAGAGATGGGGCAGGTGGAGTTGGGAGATGAGGAGAGAGGTGGGGATGGGTAATAATCCCTGGATTTGGTATAGTGCCTTTCACGTCGGGATGACGTCCCAAAGAGCTTCACAGGATTTGACTGTGGAATGACTATTTGTGGGTGAATGAAGCAGCCAATTTGCACAAATTATTGTCCCACAAACAGCCATGAAGTGAGTGATCAATTATATTTAGGGATTGTTGGCCAGATCAACAGGAGAAACTCCCTTCTCTTTTCAAATAGTGCCATGAGATCTTTAAAGTACACCTGAACAGGTAGTTGGGACCTTGGTTTAATGTCTCATCTTAAGGGTGGCACCTTCGACAATGCAACACACCCCCAACACTGCATTGGAGTGTCACCTTAGACTATGTGAGTCCAAGTCCTGATATGGGGCTTCAACCTACAACCTTCTGACTTAGAGCGAGAGCGCTACCATGAAGCTAGGCTAGCAGCCAGGTAGTGTGATAATGTAAGACTTCTCAAACATTTAAGTGAGTAGATAATAGACTGATTTAGAAAGGATATCATATCCAAATCGGAGTTTATCATCAATCTTCAGGGTGATGTAGCTTTGATCTGGAATTCTGGTCTCATTAACAAATGTCTAGAAAAAAGAAAAACACAACAGTAAGGTTTTACTTATACTTCATTATAAATTACTCTTGGTTATGCTTCTCTCTGACCACCTCCAGAATGAGCTCTAGAGGTCTTACAAGCAATCATATCCAGTGCAAGTGATCCAATGATTTTTATTCATTCATTTCTCTATCCCAGACTTCACATTAAGATAAGAAAACAAAACATTAAGACATTCTCACAAGTCTATCACTTCTGGCCTTTTTGGCAGTTGAAACTGAAAATATTCCTAGCATTATGACCAAGGACACAAAAANTAACTTGTTTACATCCCTGATGTGTTAAAGTGGGTAAAGTTCCTACCTGGTGTACAACTGAGGTCAACAAACAAGCTTAGCTAATATGGCTTCGGGGAGGTGGGGAAAGAAAGAGGGGGAAATAAAAGAAACCACACAAAAATCAGCCAGGTTTCCCGCTTCCAATTGGTATCCAATGATCGCTAATGGAAAGGATACTTTTAGGGAACACAGGGAACAGGATTGGAATCTGCTCAGGGTTAATTTTAATGATTCTTCTAGATCTAATTTTCTATTTATATTCTGTATGAATAATCACATTCAATGATCACATATTCTGTATGAATGGTAACAGTAATCACAACATCATTAGGTTTAGAGTACTTATGGAAAGGGACAAGGAGCAATCAAAGGTGAAGATACTCAACTGGAAGAGGGCTAATTTCAGCGAGTTAAAAAGGGACCTAGCCAAGGTGGACTGGAAAGAAACATTAGCAGAAAAAACAGCTAATGAGCAATGAGCCTTCAAGGAGAAGATAGTTCGGGAACAGAACAAATATATTCCCACAAAGGCGAAAAGGTAGGGCATCCAAACCTCCCTGGATGAATAAGAAAATTGGCTTAAAATAAAATAGAAAGGAGCTTATGATAAATGTCAGGTCCAAATTACAGAAGATAATCAAATAGAATATAGAAAGTACAGAGAGAATTGATAACGGAAATAAGAGGGGCAAAGAGACTGTGTGAGAAAAGATTAGCGGGTAACATAAAAAGGAACCCTAAGGTATTTTATAAGCATATAAAGAATAAAAGTTTAGTCAAAGGTAGGGTGGGTCCAATTAGGGACCAAAGAGAAAGTCTTCTTGTGGAGGCAGAGGGGCAAATTTTCTTGTGGAGGCATGACAAACTGAATGAGCACTTTGCAACAAAAAAAGAAGTCGCAAGGAACACTCAATAGGTCAGGTCGCATCTATGGAGAAAGCAAAGTGAGTCAATGTTTCGGGACCATGACGCTTTGTCAAAACTGGGGCATGTTGGGAGGGAGAGGCTTTCAAGGGGTAACAGAGAGGGGGGAGGCAGGGCAAGGAACACAAAGGAGAAAATGGGGTAGAGGACAGGGGGTGATGGGTTAAAGAGGTGTTAATGATGCAGAACAAAGTGGGGGATTGCAACAAAGCAGGGGAACAGAGGTGTTAATACTGCAGAACAAAAGGGGTGGCTGGGGGAAAGACTGCAACAAAATAGGCAAACCAAAGAGAGAAGAGGTGTGTCTGGGAACAAGATGATGTGATAATGGTCACAGAAGAGGAGGAGGGGAAGGTGAGCTGTTAGGGTCTGAAATTGTTGAAATAAATATTGAGGCCAGAGGGCTGTAAGGTCCCTAGCAAATAAACGAGGGGCTGTTTCTCGAGCTAGCGCTGCGGCTCATTGGCACAGCGTAGGAGACCATGAATGGAGAGATCAGAGTGAGTGCAAGTGGGAGGGAGAGTTGAAGTGGCGCACAGCAGTGTCCCACAAACAGTCGTGGATTGAACTGACCAATTTATTATTTTTTTTAAGGATTATTATCAGGCATGTGGAGTAAGGAAACTTGCCCAAGGTTTCACCCTGCCGGGAATCAAACCCAGGTCTCTCACTTGCAAAGCGAGTAATCTAACCACTGAGCTACAGGACTCCATAAAAAGAGGATGCAGCCAATGCCACAGTATCAGAGGAGATGGCAGAGAAATTGGATTGTAGGTGAAATTGAAAGTGCTCAAGGTACATATATGTCACCCGGTCCGGACGGGATGCGTCCTAGGTTACTGCGGGAAGTAAGGGGGGAAATAACAGAGGATCTGGCCACAATCTTTCAATCCTCCTTGGACATCAGGGTGGTGCCAGGGGACTGAGGGTTGCAAATGTTACTCCCCTGTACAAAAAGGGACAGAAGGATAAACCTGGGAACTACAGGCCAGGCAACCTAATGTCGGCAGTGGGGAAACTTTTAGAGACCATAATCTGGGACAAAATACATTTTTATTTAGAAAAATATAGGTTAATAAAAGACAGCCAACACAGATTTGTTAAAGGCAAATCACGTCTAACAAATCTGATAAGAATTTTTTGATGAAGTGGATGAAGGTAGTGAGGATTATATGGATTGTCAAAAGGTGTTTGATAAAGTGCCACGTAAGAGACTTATAATAATAATAGTCCTTGCATTTGATATAGCGCTTTTCACGTCTTCTAGACGTCTCAAAGTGCTTCACAGAATATACTGTAAAGTGAATTGACCGTATATTTGTGAGCGAAATGCGGCAGTCAATTGCGCACAGCAGTGTCCCTTGTAAGCAAAATAGAAGCCCAATGTTTTAAAGGGACAGTGGCAGCATGGATACAGAACTGGTGGGAAGACAGAAAGCAGAGAGTGGAGAACAGTTGATTGTCTGACTGGAGGGATGTGTGCAAGGGGTGCCCCAGGGGTCAATATTGGGACCACTGCTGTTTTGATCTATATAAATGACCTGGACTTGAGTATAGGGAGTACAATTTCCAAGTTTGCAGATACTAACTTTCCTACTCCACTGCTTTACCTTCCGGTGGGACCTCTCTTCTGGTCAGAACCCATTAGCAATGCAGAGAGTGAAAGAGGGGCTGAGCAGGAGGTATCGAGCTCCACCCCATCACATTTTGTGTTGCCTCGAGCCTTGTGCCACCTGATAAGATGCAGCGAGCAGCAGGGAGAGTATTTTGCAATTCTAAAACTACAGACCTACAACAACAATAAATTACTTGTGCAGCACCTTTCATGTCGGAAAGACGTTCTAGAGCGCTGCACAATCAGGGATTTTGGACCCGAACTGGGAGTAGGGAGCAGAAGGGGAGGAGAGCAGTGGGGGTGAGAGGGTGGCCGAAAGCACGACCGAAGAAGGTCTTCAGACGGGACTTGAAGGAGGCAAGAGAGGGGGGTGAGGTGGAGGGTTTGCGGGATAGAGTCCCAGAGCGTGGGGGCAGAGATGCTGAAGGCCCGACAGCCAATGATAGGATGGGAAGTGCAGAGGAGCTGAAGCAGGCCGGTATCCCCTGAGCGGAGGAAGCGGAGAGACTGATATGGGGTTACGAGGTCAGAGAGGTAGGGGGCCAAGACCACGGGGGGCCTTGAAGGTAAAACCAAGGGTTTTAAACTCGATTCTCTGAGGAATGAGGAGCCAGTGAAGCCGAGCAAGAACGGGGATGATAGATTCCCAGAGCCTGGTGCGGAAAAGGACACAAGCTGCAGAGTTCTGAATAATTTGCAGCTTGTGAAGGGAAGAGTTGGGAAGTCCAGTGAGCAGGCGGTTGGCGTAGTCAAGCCGGGACAAAATGAAAGCGTGGATCAGGGTCTCTGTGGCCTGCAGTGAGAGGTAGTGGGGGAGGTGAACAATGTTGCGGAGGTGTGGAAAGGTAGAACAGGTCACGGCAAGAATGTGGTGTTTCTTACTACGAGTAGGAAACACGAGGTACGGTAAATAGAGGATTTCAGTGCAAGTGCGAAGTGGATTATTTGTATATTGAAAGTAATGGAAAAACGTGTGTGTATTACATATATTTACACACACACACATATTTATATACATACACACACACATATGGTTATCTATGTTAACAACAACAAAATGACATTTGTATAGCACCTTTTACCTCGGGAGGATGTCCCTAAAGGCGCTGGACAGACAGAGTTTCGGACCTGAGCTGGGAGTCGGGATTGGGAAGGGTGAGTACAAAACCCAGGAGGGAAGCAGGATGATCGAAAGCACGGTTGAAGAGAAGGGTCTTGAAAGAGGTAAGGGAGGGGGCGAGGCGGAGGGACTGCGGGATGGAGTTCCAGAGGGTGGGGGGAAGAGTGGCAGGCGGCCCGCCGTTCAATGGTGGGGCGGACGAGGCTGGGGACGTGAAGCAGGCTGGAGCCCACTGAGCGGAGGGAGTGGGCAGGATGGTAGGGGGCTAGGAGGTCACAGAGGTAGGGGGGAGTAAGGCCATGGAGGGCTTTTAAGGTGAGGACCAGATCTTGAACTGTATCCTCTATGTGATGGGAAGCCAGTGGAGTCGGGCAAGGATGGGGGTGATAGGGTCACGGAGCCTGGTGCAGGAGAGGACATGGGCTGCAGAGTTCTGGATGATCTGCAGCCTATGGAGGGAAGAGTATGGGAGGTCGACAAGCAGGGAGTTTGCATAGTCACGCCCAGATGTTATTATGAATGTGTGTACAAGGGTTTCGGCCGCCCGCAAGGTGAGACAGTGGCGAAGCCAGACAATGTTGCCAGGGTGAGGGAAGGCAGAGCGAGTCATGGCATGGATGTGGGGTAGGAAGGATAGTTGAGAGTCATACAAGATGCCAAGGTTCCGGACTGGCTTAGTGAGGTGGAGTATGCAACCATGGATGGTGACGCTGTCAGCGCCTGAAGTGAGGAGGCACTGACGGGAGTCAATCAGGAGAGCCTCGGTCTTGTTGGCGTTCAACTGAAGGAAGTTAGTTCTCATGCAGGACTTGCATGTCCTGTAGGAGTCCTGTAGCTCAGTGGTTAGAGCGCTCGCTTTGCAAGCGAGACACCTGGGTTCAATTCCAGGCAGGGCGAAACCTTGGGCAAGTTTCCTTACTCCACACGCCTAATAATAATCCCTCCAATATCAAAAACAATAATAAATTGGTCATTTTCAATCTACGACTGTTTGTGGGACATTGCTGTGCGCAATTGGCTGCCGCGTTCGCCCACAAATTTGCAGTCAATCCACTTTACAGTGTGTTCTGTGAAGCACTTTGGGACGTCCTCCCGACGTGAAAAGCGCTATATCAAATGCAACGATTATTATTATTATTATTGATGTCTGACAGACATTCTGTCAAGGACAACAACAACAACAAGATTCCATTTATAAAGCGCCTTTCACGTCAGGAGGACGTCCCAAGGCGCTGCACAGTTGGGTCATGACCCGAGCAGGGGGGAAAGGACAGCAGTGGTCCTGGAGTCATGGGTGGGGGCAGAGAGGTAGAGTTGGGTGTCACCTGTATACAAGTAGAAGTTGATCCCATGTCTGTGGATGATGTCACCAAGAGGGAGCATATAGATATTGAAGTGGAGGGGACCAAAGACAGAGCCCTGAGGAACGCCGCACGAGACGGTGTGGGGGCTAGAGGAGAAACCGCTTGTGGAGATGAAGCAGGGGCGGTGTGAGAGGTACGATCTGAACCAGTCAAAGACATAGCCGTGAAGGTTGAGGTGAGAGGAGAGGCGGTGGATGAGGATAGAGTGATCACCGGTGTCGAAGGCAACAGAGAGGTCAAGGAGGACGAGGAGGCAGAGGGAGCCCTGGTCGCATATGGACAGAATGTCATTTGTCACTTTGACCAGGGCTGTTTCTGTGCTGTGATCGGTAGGAGGTGGTTTGGGTGACGGTGGGGAGAGGGATTGAGGTGTTAAGGGAGATGAAGTGATGGTCCAAGATCGCTTTGTTGATGATGGGATGTCTGAGACGGTGAGGCCCCAAGTGATCACCAGGTCAAGCGGGTGACCGCAGACGTGGGTGGGGGAATGGATGTTCAAGGGAGAGGTTGAGGAAGGAGATAAGGGAGGAGAAGTCAACATTGGTAGAGCAGGAGGGGGTGAAGTGAAGGTTGAAGTCGCCTAGGACGAGGAGACGTTCAGAGAGAGAGAGAGGGAAGTTAGGAGGGTGGAGTTGTCGGGACCGAAGATGGGGGAGGGCTTGGGGGGGCGGTAGACAAGAAGAATTTTGAGGGAAAGGTTAAAGGAGTTCAGAGTTTGTTTTCCAATTTGATGCATGCATTTTCAGTTGAGATAATTAAGTAATAGTCACACAATTTAAAACACTGTATGATTCTTTTATGAAAGGGAAAAACAAAAATATTGCTTATGTGGCCCATGGACGTTTCTCAAATATGGCATCCAGGTCTTGACACCCAAAAGGTTGGACAACCCCAAATTAATAATAGGGTACCAGATCCTAAAAGAGGTTGAAACTCCAGTTTGGGATTTTCCAAGAGGGAACAAGAATTGTTGATTGGCCAACAATTCCCTAGATTAAAGTGATCATTCACTTTATGGGTGTTCTTTGGGACATTGCTGTGTGCAACTTCACTGCTGCATTTACCTACAAAATAGTCCCTACACTTTAAGTTAAATTCCTTGAGGAACTTTGAGATATCCTCAGGACAAAAAAGGCTATATCAAAGGCAAGGAATATTATTATGGTAGTCCAAAACCATTTCCTGATTGAAATTAAATTATGTATTATATAGTTTTATATTTTGGTTATCATGCCCTTGCCTGTGTCTGCAAAACAAACATCAGTTTTAAATCACCATTTGCCCTTTAATTTCTAGTTTGCCGGTAACAATCCTCTGGAACAACTCTGCGGGAATTGATTTAAATGAATTAGAGTCTTTAGTTGAGATTAAATGTATTTCTATTCTGATACTGTCCATCGCAAATCACCATCTTTTAAAACTGCCAAAAGTTACATCACTCACTCAATAAAACCACTAAAATAGTGTTAAATTAACTTTGAAAACCCTGCTTTAAGGCAGGGCGTTCCAGAGTTTAGGAGGTCTTGTGGCAAAGTACAGATATCCTTTTTTACTTAGGTGATAAATACATACAGTACGTCAGATGAGGCCTAACCTAAGCCTTATGCAGCAACAAGAGAATTTTTCAATAAATACTCTCAACTCTTTGATACAACCAAGACACTGTTCATTACCTACCCCATTTAGACTGCCAAGATCCTTCACTTTATGCTCATCTTCAAGAGCGTCATAATTGATGACAGCATGCTGTTTATCCACACTTCGGGACTGTAAAAGAACCAACATTTTATAAGGCCACAGGAAAACCAAAAACAAACATCCACACTGGTTAGGAAATGCATACAAATCTCAGCCAACAACCACCAAATATGTGGAATTACCTTTTTCTGCACATAGGGTAATTGAAGATTACTGATCTCTGGATTGGCTCCACATTGCAGAATTCTTTAAGGAAGTTTGCTACTTGAAATTTTTTAAAAAATCAAATCCACTTAGATCCAATGATTACAGAAAAGAGCATTCAAGGCTTATTTTCTACATATATAGTTAAATAGAGATCACGTGGAAAAATGATTCACAATTTGAAAACTTTAAAATTCAGGTAGCTGAGAATGGAAATCAACACGTACAGGACTTGGCATTCAGTAAATTCTCACACTAAATTAAAGGTAAGTAATCCAGTTAATTACAGTCTTAATCTTCTGTCAAAAAGATTCTGATTTACAATCAAGCTCTGTATAACTAGCTTGTTTGTAAAAAGTTAAAACCCAAGTATTGTAGTTTCAGCAATTGATAAATTATATTAGTGAATGTTAAATCAATGTTGGAAAAATAGTTCAATTTGTATTAAGGCAGGAATGGATTCCAAAGATCATGGTTCAAAAAAATAATTGGATAATATCTAAACAAAGTGCACTGAAGCTTGTAGGATATTCACAAGACCACTCTACAATACAATAAGGCTACAGTAGTTAGCAATCGGCACTGGAATATAATAGCGACATAAGGGACATACACTAAAAGAATTTAGCTTTCTTTAAAACATTTCCTTTCATGGCACCACTCTCGTACTATATTACATAAATATACTCAAAACCACAGTGTAAAACAATGGAGCGGAAGGACTTGAGCTCATAAATATGGTACAGTCTTAAAAGGAATCAGAAGGGCATGGATAGCAGACACCTACAAGATGCAGTTAATACATTTAACACTACATCTTGTGAAGCGCTCAGACATCCTCCCAACATGAAAGGAGCTATATGAAATGCAAATAGTACTGCATGTAGGGGAATGAAATTTGGAGGTAACGGACAGTTTTGTACACTACAACAACAATTTTGTCAGTTATAAGAAATCAATGTCATAATTTTCTCTTTAACTGTCTAGTTTCTCAATTTATAGTCTCGGATTTCTAGTTCATCTGTCACATCAGGCCTTTATTTCTGAACTGGCAAGTTGAGTCAATGCCAAAATGTAAAGTTATACGCACTGGAAAAAAACCTGAAGGGGCATCTATTAACAAAGATGGAAAATAATTTGAGCTGGAAAAATCACTGAAAGTAACCAGTTAATGTAACACTGTTATTTACAAAGTATTATCATGTATTATCCTCCCGAAGTGAAAGGCGCTATACAAATGTAATCTTGTTGTTTTTGTTGTTGTAATGTGAATTGCAATAAGATTTGTTTGGTAAATTACAAGGTGAATTCAAATTTATGAGACGTGTTTCAGTTGTTTTATAGGTTTTTTAATCATAAAGTATTATTCCTGTCAGTAAAAAAAAGTTCGATAAGTTGATCATTGTGGAGTCCTGTAGCTCAGTGGTTAGAGCACTCGCTTTGCAAGCAAGAGACCTGAGTTGAAAATAATTGGTGGAGTCATATTTGGAATACTGCACACAGTTTTATGTATTTTCAAAACATCTTGGTGGGTGGTAAGCAGGGTCTCCTCAGAGTTGAACCGACTCTAAGGTGATGTGTTTGGCAAAGCAATGTCAGAATCGAACCCACTCTCTGTGGGGGTCTCAGAAGTTCAGTTCTTGAGAGAGGTGGGTACACAGTCCTTCAGAGGTCTGCTGGTGATAGCACACCTCAGGCTGCCTCATTAGCAGGGCTTGGAAACTGGGAGTCTTCCTACTCAACTCCCATTAACCCTGCAAGCCAAAGCCCTAACGGGGAGGGTGTCCTAACTGGACATGCAGTGGGAAAGCTTGGCAAAGTGCTCTCAATGGCAAGGTATGTGCTTTTAGCTGGTTAGACTCCAGCAGTAACCACAACACACAATCTGGACTCTTGCTAACCTGTGCCAAATACCTTCCGGAATTAGATAAACAGGATGCATTCCTCCAGGCGAGAGTGCACATTCCACTCCAAAAAACATTTCTGGAATTTCAATGTATGGGTGGGATGCACGGAACTCAGTTTGATTTGAATACTCTTAAGCATGGTGATGGGTTTCTGCATACATCAAACGGGCAAAAAAAAATTGGTTGAATGGAGCTCAGAATACAGTAAATTTCATTTAGTCAGTGGAAAAAGCTATTAAATATAAGTATTATTATAACTAATATTATTACTACTAATGATAATTAATGGGCTAAAATGGCTTTTTCAAATAATAACTTGCACCTAATTAACACCTTTCGTGCACGATTAATTTTCTGAAGGGCTTGTATACTTTCACCGCAGATGAGCAGTTTTAACAAATGCCTTTCAAAGGCCAGGAAATGATATTCACCAGGTAGCGCTCATTCACACATCTAGTTACTGTATTTTCTGAAAGAACTCAAGTTTGAGCCACAAAACCATGCTGAACTATACCGATTACTTTAATACTTGCATTTCTTTAAATAGCCTTTATTCTTTTCAATAGCATTCCATAAAAGTCTCAAGCTCAATGCTGCTTGAATAAGTGGACTATTTTCCCCCAATTTACATTTTATTCTGAATATTAGATTTACATTGGTTTTGTAATCTGCCAGGTGCAAAGGATACTGTCTTATATTTATAGGGCCCTTAAACAACATTAACTTGAAGCCCTCCTACATACATACACTTCCCCAAAGATTACTGGGTGTAACTCTTTCAGCTGCCATGTGCAGATTTAATCCATCATGTTGCTTCATAACCAGTTTATCTGGTCTACCACACGTTTTATAGAATCCAGACGGCGAGATTGGAATTTGTCCAGGGGCGTCAGTTGGGAAAACTAATTTTGAACTCATTTAACACATCTGCCATTTCCTGATTTCTTATATATTTATAATTCAGTTAATACTTTAAAGCAACAGCTAGTCTAAACACCACCTTCTTTCTACATAACTGAATTTATTTTAGATTCAATTGGAATAAGTGTTTGTTTAACAGTACAACAAACACAATGGATATGGATGTATACTGTTTAATGAACACTTATTCCACTCATCCTCAACCACCTTCAACAACTTCCTTGAAACTGTACAACAAGCTGCTCCTAGCTTTTATTAATAAGATAATTCTAGGGTTCTGACAAAAGGTCCTTGACCTGAAACGTTAACTCACTTTCCTCTGTCCACAGATGCTATCCGACCTGCTGAATGTTCCCAGCTATCTGTTTTTATTTCAGATTTCCAGCATCTGCTCTATTTTGCCTTTTGTCAGAGTCAATAGGTTTTAGGCAATATTCTGAATACATGTTTGAATAGCATCAGTTCTTTTCCATTTTTTATTTGCTAGTTGTATAATACGAAGTTAGAGTTTCTAATCTATGTTTGTTAATCAATATAAGCACATAAATTCATTGTTGAGATTATCTCCTTCTGTGAGGATACCAGTCTTAAGAGTTTTCACTAAGACCCTCAATGAGCCTGTTCATTTTTCTCTAGCCCCGGGTGATTACATCTCGCATGGATACCTGAGAAATATTTGTGCAAAATGTCAACTCAGTACAACTGTGTCTTACTCCACCACCCAGTCTTCCAGGATTACAATGTTTTAATCCACATGGTTACTCCAAGTCTAATAAAATGTATAGTAGCACAGTATATGACCTACTGAATGTACACACTGCGAAGATGTAAAATTACTTCAAAACAAGGGTAAAACTGAGGATACATTTTATTCACTAAACATGTCAATTAGCATTTCCTTATCTGAGACTAGAAAAAATAACTTGTATTCAAGATGCTGCAACAAAATAACTTGGGCACAATAGCCTACAAGTACAATTAGTGTAAATAAATGACATTTTGGTTGTGAGATAGGCAGGTGCTAGAAGAAGAGCAGGGTGGAACCAGACAGTCTTTGCAGATTTGTATGGATTAAACTGACTGATGTCATTTCAGCAATCTTTTCAATGTTAAGTGAACGACATTAATGGCAGTAGTGCTAGAAAAAAACCTTCTGAGTAATCTTGTCCTGGAGGATTATCTGTGATCTTTAGAGCCTATTCTGACAAGAACCCAAGACCCAAGGCAAATTACAAGAACTCACGTTGTGCCTGGAGGATAGATACAGTGTCAGCCAATGACTCCAGTTACCCCTAAAGGCGCACAGTGCTTAAATTGCTCCGTTAGTACAAATGGTTGCCAACTTATAGTTAACTTTGCAATCCAAAATTAGGCTATATAAACTCCAGTCAACTAAAATCAAGGTTTTTAATTTAAATGTGACAAGTGAATATTGTAGTAAATTAAATGTGTAAGTTGGATGAACTGATGATCTATGCCTGACTGAAATACTTTATTCGTTATCTACTAAAATGAAAGTACAAATTAATGCCACCACTTTAAAGACCTGAAGACTCTTTGGCTCTTCTCGAGCAATATGCATATTTTCTTTCTTTATTGTTCCAAAATTTACCATGAGTACATTGTACCCGACTGAACCCCCCAAAAAACTAGATTGAATTCCATTCATCATTTTATTGCTCATTCTGTTCATAAAAGATAGCTTTGACTGACAGTACAGTCAGACTCCTCTCCCACTTGCATTATAACCGTGGTTTGGGTACATAAAACCAGACCTTGTATTACGACGACACATTAAAAAATGGCCACATCTCAGCACTTCCAGGGTGTCACAGACATTAATTCCTGTGCCCTGTTCATTGGGCAGGAAGCCGACTAGACAGGGCACCACCAATCTAATAGAGCGCAGATCCAAGATGCACTCATGTTAAAAATTGACCCATGCTATTCTAGGGAACATATATTAAGTAACCGTATTACTGGATGCACAAGAACATCTGCAAGATAGTTGGTGGAGCCTCATACATTTCTCAAGCACGTTCTCCCAACAAGAGAACTAATAAAGATAGCATCTGTGGAGCAAGCTCTTCCTGACTGTATGATTGTACAGGTTAAGAGTTGTTCCAGACACCATTGAAGCACTCAATACTCATGCATTCTAAAGTTAGAAATGGAAAATCTAGAAATTTATAACTGAGCGAGAGAATATATGTAAATCTATTCTTCCTGCTGATGTAGTATGACCTACAATGCCTCACAGGGGATATCAAATAATAAACAAACTCACAATTTGTACCAAGTCCTAGTGCAGCATCTGTTCACAGATGAACACAAGTATTCCAAGACTTGAACAAACCACCTGGGGTTGGGAGTGGGTCTCCTCTATTATAGTTCCTCTGTACAAAACATTGTGTCTAAAACTTATTCCTGCCTCCAGAAGTACGTTTACTGCCATAATTCATTGCATATTACAAATAATATTTAACTAGTTTTGTAAAATGTATTAATTCAGAACAAATTATAAAACCAAGCAAATTAGTGACGCATTGTTAGTATGAACTGCACACAAACCAAATAAGTGCTGAAGGCAGATCATTTAGAAGAAAAACAGCATCTGTGAATGTGTTCCAGAGGTACAAGCAATAATCTTTAGCTAAATTGGACAGCCAAAGAAGAAAGACTAATCATGCAAGGAAAGCACTCATTTTGCTCTGTACAAGATTTGGAATATATGGACTACATTCTCGTTGCATACTAATAAATACCATTACTCTTCTTGCCCACTGGGATCACAATGAGCTCCTCAGAAGACACAAGTTAGTACAGCCCTGAAAATACTATGCAGACTCATCTGGTGCCACTTCCAAATTAAACTCTTTGCGTTTCGGCATTGGTGGCATCAGAAATTATAAAATTGGAATTTATTGTGCTAGGAAGAAGCAAAAGCCCAAACGTTCAAGCATTTTAAAGCGAGCGAAGCTCCCAGGTACTTCTGAGTCAATGTCTGTGCTCCTGGAGAATTGCACTGAAGAATTAAACACTATCCCTTTTTCAGAGGGGAGTATCAGCATGAAGCATTCTGAGCAGAAGAACAAAGCTAGTGGTACTCTTATTTTAAATCGTGCCTTAAACCTTTCAGAAGTTCATCCTCGCTGAACCACCATTCATTTTCCCATCTAGGTTTCCCAGTGACCCCACTGAGTAACACAGCTAAACTAAGTGCCAAATTAAAAGCAATTTAGTGCTGTTGGCCCATTCCCTCTGGGAACACCGTTGACCACACAAGCTCATTTTACAGAGGACCCAGACAGGCAGAAGAAAAAGGCGACCTAAATTAATTTTTGAAGTTGTATTTCACATTATGGGATAGTCTTAAGTGAGAACAAAAACTCCAACCCTAAATACACTTATTCATGTATTCTTCCTACTCACTCGTATCTGAAGTAGTTTGCATACTTTGGCCATCTGGAAAAAAATTTGAACATGAATTACCCAAAATCAAAGTGCACAAAGAAATGATGGAAAAACACTTGGAAATTCATTATTTTAGTGAACCATAAAGCTGGAAGTTGAGGAAGTGTAATCATACAAAAGTAAAATATTCATAAAAAAACTACCACACAAACAATGGCCTTGTGCCCCAGCCTAATTAAAATCCAAGTCGGTGAAGTTAGATTCCAACCTTATTTGAGGACATTAGAGCATTGAATCAACATTTCAATTCTGGTTCATTCAGACTTGCTTTTTTGATTCCCCTTTCACTCTACCATCTACGGTTAATTAGTTCCACTAAGGATTCTTTAATTGTGCTTCATTTATTTAACAAGAATTATAGTTCTATTTGTAGTCTAGATTTATTGTTTCACTATTCTATATTGTTTCCAGGACCTTCACTGCAAATAGCCATACGGTCAATTTAGCTTTAAAGGCTTACACTGCTCAGTACTGTTTTGCATAAATCACTTTAAAAAAAAATCTCATAGGTGCAATGGGGGGGGGGGGGCAAGAGAGAAGAAAAATAAAATCAGGTTAAGAGTTAAACTGAATTGTGTTGGTGAGAGTCTGTTGTGTACGATATATAATTCAAGCTATCTACATGAAAATCTGTGTTAAAATCAAAGGAATAGTTTCTTCACACAGTTACCTGCAACATCAGTTCGCAGTCATCCCGACCGACAAAGATCATCTCACGTGGCAGCCGATGACGCGTGCCTCCACTGCTCACCAAAAACCAGGACGTTAAGCTCATTTTCTGAACAGTTACTAAATCCTATTGGAAAGCTACGTCATCCTACAGGGCAGAAAAAGAAAAACATTTTTTAAGATCAACTTGTTAACTGTAGTGCTACAAGAACACAATAGTCATTGATAAAACATTGCTGGGTTGTGTTCATATTTCAATAGAAGATTAAAAACAGATGTCAGAAGCCATCACAGGAAATGACACAAGATGCTAGATTCAAAGATGGCTGGAGATACATATCCAAATCACCAGCTGTTATCAAACACAGTTGCTTGATGCCAGTTCTGAAAATGAAGTCAATAAAACGTACAGCAGCAAAAAGATATTAAATTAATTATTTTAAACGACTTTATTAAGAAAACTATACTCTATTTTATGGAGTCCCTTTATACATACCACAAAGCTTTTCCTACAACTATTAAGGCCTTGTTGTAAACTGAATCATTGCATTACAACAGAAGCATAGCTTTCAGCTACAGAAATAATGGCTTTATTGTTGATGTACTGTATAACAGGCTATGAATAGTTACAATGTGAATTCATCACTGGCTGCATGCAGCAGAGGCGATTGCCTCCTAGGAAACTGATTTAACGGTATTTAACATTCATAGATATACTAATTGTAGATTTTGGTTTAGAATATTACAAACCTTTTTCTTTTTTTAACAAAATAGTTAGTAAATCTAGCAAAAATGTCATTTTCCCCATGTTTTTAACCCAAAACATCTTGAATGTAAAAATGGACACATTTCCTTTCATTAAAAAAATCTAGTCAAAAAACTTTTTTCCCTGAAATCTCAGAAAAGACCTAGAATCATGTTCTGTCTTGCCAGTTAGATGCATTGTAAAATACTAGATCACTGCTGAACAAAACTGTCCAGGTGTAATTTTTCCTCAAGTACCAATTTCATCTTAAATTCAAAACAACAAGTGACTCTCTTAAAGAATTTAATTTTTTTTCCCTTTGCTAAGTAAAAGCAAAGGCAAGTTTCAAAGACCTTCAAAATTCAGAGACTCTAGGAATTCTAAAACTATTAATAATAATCCTTGCATTCGGTACAACGCGTTTCATGTCAAGAGGGTATCCCAAAGCATTTAACGGTATATATTGTCAAGTGGAGTGACTGTGTATTTGTGGGTGAATGAAGCAGCCAATTTGCACACAGCAATGTCTCACAATCAGCCACAAAATTAATAACAAATTTTATTTGGGGGATTGCTAGTTAGGACACTGGGAGAAACTAGCTTCTCTTTTTGAATAGTGCCATGGGATCTTTTAACATCAATGTGAACAGGCAGACGAAACCTCAGTTTTAACATCTCATTCGAAGGATGGAACCTCCAACAATGCAACTCACCCACAGCACTGCATTGGAGTGTCATCTTATTACATTGTTTATATTGTTTCAATCTGACAAGAATGACTTCTTGCTTCAAATCTTAAAAAAGTTGTAGATTCACATCAACATGGAGATAGTTGAAACATCCAGCTGATCAGATTGATACAAAAAAAAACTTTTGGCAATAACATATCAGCACAACAGCAAGATTTGTAAAATATTATTATACGGTATACTAAACAGAACAAAAGAAAATTTGTGTAAACATTATAATATGTAAGCGATGTATTTGCCATGGACATACATCTAGAAAAGATTTGGAGTCCTGCAGCTCAGTGGTTACAGCACTCGGTTTGCAAGCGAGAGACCTGAGTTCAATTCCAGGCAGAGGGCGAAACCTTGGGCAAGTTTCCTTACTCCACACAGAGCCTAATAATAATCCCTCCAAAAGACCAAAAACAGTAATAAATTGATCATTTTCAATCTACGACTGTTTGTGGGACATTGCTGTGCGCAATTGGCTGCCGCGTTCGCCCACAAATATACAGTCAATTCACTTTACAGTGTGTTCTGTGAAACGCTTTGGGACGTCCTCCCGACGTGAAAAGCGCTATATCAAATGCAAGGATTATTATTATTATTATTTCTGCAAAAACACTTCAGGTCAATTAACAGCGAAAGTGTTTAGCAATTAATGTGAATTAGAATTCATGTTTTAAAGAATCCTGAATTCTTTGATGTGCAATTAATCCAAAAATATGAATTGTCAATAAGCAGAACTTAAAAATAAAAACATAAAAAAACAACCTCAGAGAATTGATGACAGACAAACAATTTGTTATGGTGAGAGATAGCATGCAGATGACTGAATTAAAATCCAGACAACTCCCAGGCAACTGGTAGAATTTAAGTAAAGTGTTATAACTGTTTGCAGCCAAGTCGTAAAACTAACACTATCTCCATTTGTAAACACCAGGTTACTTTAACAGTATGCCTTAAGACAAGTTTCAATCCACCAATTCACCTCATAATTCTGAAAAGCACCATTTCTGTCAATGTTTAAAAATGGAGCTGCAGCTGGTTATTTGTAAAGTGTATGCAAACATTTATTGCATACACTTTATAAACCCTGCCAGTTGTCTAATTTTTTTAATTAAAATTTGAGCTGTCTGCAATAAAACCTCTCATATATATTCTTGGTCTAATGATTCAAGGTAGCAGGTCCAATGAAGAAAAAATATTGTGCCAGATCGAGTGCTAAGCAATAGCTCTAATACACTGCTCAAGACCATCACACTGTGTACTGAAATCCACCATTCGTACATACTGGAACCAGTCTAGCTTCTCAGTTACCCAGCTTTAATATCTGCATGGACAGGCGATACCTGGTGTTCCTGATCCCTCTGAAATACAGGCCACCATGTCTGTGTAGCCAGGCTTACACACAATGTACGGTGCAGTACTACATACAATGCAGTCTTAAAATTAGACTTTATTCACAAAAAGGATAGTGATTATTAAGTGCAGAAACAATTGTGATGTTTAAAACAGATTGATACATACTTGAGAAGTAAGAAAATTAAGAGATGAAATCGGTGGGGAAATATGATTGAAACATCTGCCATGATGAAATAAAATGGCAGAACTGACTTGATGAGCTCAATGTCCTATTTCTGTTTTTCACGTCTATAAGATAATTTAGAAAACTGAATCCAATGTTACTCACTGAAGATTTCAGTTCCTCTTTAGTTCCAAACACAAAGTCCCTCTGTTTCTGTGATTTAAATAGCCTCTTCCATGTAAAAGAAATACTGTCCATCAGCTGAGTTCATTTGCTAATAAGCAATTTAGAGAGCCAGCATTGTCACTTAGAAATCTAACCTTTGTTGCATCAAGATTTGATTTAAAATGAAATTAACATTTAAAATGTTTGACTTTAAAAAAAGTATATTAAAATGTTGAGTAGAATGAGTTGTACTAAATTTATTCCCTGGGTTAACACTAATGTTTTTGGGTAAAATTTGAAGCAGATGATGCAAGAGCCTGCAACCAGCCACATCACCATGATTTCACAGCACCAGCAGCCCATGAGTCTCGCCAGCTGTATGTAGCCAAAGCTGACTATATGACTGGCATTACGTCAAATAAAACAGTTTTGTTCTTGGGGAATTAAAATTATTCACATCTGAATTCAAGCTTCAAGAGCAAAGGTAAAATTAGTGTAAGTTTCAGTAGTGCACCTACATTTCCATGGATGTAGTATGTAAGAAATTCATGACACTAGTCAGATATAAGAAAACTATTAAGGGGGCACGAGCAACCTTTTGGGAGAGTGGGTGGGGAGAATGAAGATGGTTCAGGTAAACTCATCTCCATGTAAAATGTATTGACTGTGTAAACGCAGCAGCCAAATTTGTGCACAGCAATATCCCACAAGCAGTATGATCATATTTATGTGGGGGTTTCTTGGCCAGGATAAATTCCCTTCCCAAATGGTGCCACGGGATTTTTACTGGCCACTAAAGAGGCAGACAGAACCCGAGTTTAATGTCTCACCCGAAGATCAGCACTTCTGCCAACCCTGTGCACCCCCAGCACTATACTGGGAGTGACAGTCTACAGTGAGTTCAAAGTTCTGACGATAGTGATAAGCCAAGTAACAACCGCCTTTCTTAAAAAAGCAAGCAACAAGTTATTTACTTCTCCTCCAGCTGCGGCTCCCAGTCCGCTGATGTCCTGTCAGCTTGCTGGATGGACATCAAGGCCTGGATAAACGCAAATTTCCTGCAGCTCAATGTCAACAAGACGGAAGCTATACACTTTGGCCCATTAACTTCTTCTCTCCTGTGGGTCTGAACCCCTCAATTTTCCTGGGCTCTCCCTCAGGATCACCAAACCCATGTGCAACTGAGGCGTCAGGTTGATCTCCAGCTTCCCTTCCTACCCCACGTCCATTCCCTGGACCAGGATCTCTTTTTTCCCCACCTTCGTCACATTGCTCACCTCCGTCCATACCTCACAACCAAAGTAGCAGAAACCCTCACCCTCATCCACACCTTTGTCACTTCCCGGCTGGTCTATTCCAATGCCCTCCTCACTGGTCTCCCCAGCTCCACCATACACAACACTCAACTACTTCAAAACTCCGCTGCCCGGATACTCACCTGCACAAAACCCTATACCCCAGCACACCAGTCCTTGTCAGGCTCCAATGGCTCCCAATTACCAAATGGTTCAACTTTAAGATCCTCTCATTCGTTTTCAAAAATCCTCCATACCCTCACACCTCCCTAGCTATTTGATTTGCTTACCACCCCAATCCATCATCCACTGCCTCCGCTCGGCTGGCTCCAACCTCTTGTTTGTCCCTTGTCCCATCCACCATCGGTAGCCATGCCTTCAGCCACTCTGCCCTGAAACTCTGGAACTCTCTCCCTCAATCCCTCCACCTTTGTCCCCTCCCTCCCCATGTTCAAATCTTGCTTAAAGGCGGGCTTTTGACTGTGCTTATGGTCACCTACCCCTCCCTCTCCCCCTGCCTCGTTGTCAGACTCCGCCACTGTCGAGCTCTCCCACATGAGGGTGCTATATAAATGCAAGTTGTTGTTATCGCCTCTAATGCATTGTTTCTCAACTAATAAATTCACTGTAACAAATTCATAGTACATTCCTTAGAAACATAGAAACAGGAGTAGGCTATTCAGCCCC